TGATTGATATGAGATATGTCTGAGGGGCTGTGTATGAGTGACTCTGAAGTTTGCTCGAGGGGGTGTATATGAGTAATGTTCTGTCCGGGGGTCTACTTATGAGTGATGTTTTTCCCGAGGGGCTATTTATAATTTCATCATTTTTGCCCACTACTGCACTAAGTCTCTGATTGAGAGCTATTGAAAACCATCTTCAAATGATTTTACCGAAACTGAGTTGAAACGAAATGATTTGATTGAAACTCTACTTTTAAAAGCCTGCTGTATTTTACTGAGATTTCATGATATGAACTTTATATGTTTTATTGCTCGTCACTACTTCTCAACTTTTATTTACTTTGGTTACTTATTGAGTTGGCGTACTCATGTTACTCCATACACCTTGTGTGCAGATCTAGGCACATCAGAACCCGGTGGCGGCTGTTGACTAGTCCAGCTGTAGATTCTTCTCGGAGTTGGCAAGGTAGATGCTGACGATCGCAACCCTGTTCTTCTCCCTCCTATCTTCATGGGGATTATTTTGTAGTTACATTTCTAGACTATATTAGTCTCAGTATCTTTGGATAGTATTTAGTAGATGCTCATGACAAGTGACACCCCGATGTCGGACTTTTCTTTCCGCACTTTGTTATTTAGATTTTTCTTAAGAAGTTTTATTATTAAATAGCTTGAAGTTATCTTTAAATTAAAATATCGAGTTATTTTGGGTAAAGAGTCATCTTGCCTAGTACCACGATAGGCGCCATCACGACATGGTAGTTTTGGTCATGACAACTACCCTAGCTCTTCAGGAGACCCATGCTCAGTTCATGAGCATGTACAGTACTCTAGCTCAGGCAGGGTCGATTCCCCTTGCTGTAGTCACATCTCAGGTCGGGAGAGGAGCAGAGACTCTAGTCGCCCGCACTCTAGAGCAGCTGGTTCAGGTTGATTAGATCCCAGAGGTTATGCTAGTACCGGATGTAGCCCCAGTTCATCTAGAGGGTAGGGCAGCAACTTCAGAGGAGGAGTAGCGGAGGCTTGAGAAGTACAAAAAGTAAGACCCTCCTACATTTAGTGGTCTAACATCAGATGAGGGAGGAGTGCCACTGTATCCTCTGCACTATGGGCATAGCAGAGTCGAGTGGGGTTTCTTTCACTGCCTTTCAGCTTCGAGGAATAGCCTATCATGGTGGCGTACTTATGAGTTGGACAGTCTGGCTGAGGAAGCTTCCCTTACATGGACTCAGTTCTCGGACATGTGGACGTATGGCGCACGGAGTTTGAGAAGTTGCCAGGGTACTATGACTGTCTCGGAAATGTGGGTCATGCTTCTTGTCCTAGGTCAGTGTCATTTGAAATACTTGCAAACTCTCATCTCATGGAAAAACTTTGGCATCCTTGTCCATGTTTATATTCATGGGCTTATTCGGATTCCACTAGCTTATGAACCAATCAGCTACATAGATCAGTAATTCTAAACAGAAGTGTTGGTTGTATTAAATTTAACCAAGTTATTTAGCTATAAGAGAGTCTTTTGTTTTGCTACTTATGGGTTGAGACTTCCTAGAACTTTAGGATCTTTCACATTCAAGAATATGACGGATTGATTTCTGACCTATATCCAAGTATAGATAGTTGATGAATCGTTTTACCTTCTAATTCGAGGCATGGTCTAACCACATACTAAAGTTCAATAAATATCTTTTGTACACGCTGCAATCTTTCTCAAGAATAGCATATAGATTTTCCCTACTCCGACCTTGCCGTCACGTGTTTTGTCGCAATTAACGTGTGGTAGAGGGATTATCAAGAGAATCGACTCAGGTATGTTAAGGCTATCCCTTCTTTCTTTTTGGCATGATCTATACGACACTAATGAAACGAGCAAATGAACAATTTCCATAAATTATTCTATTCGTAGAAATGCTAAAGATGCGTATATTCTTGTTTTCCCATTCAAGTTGAAGTTGAGCTGCCACTTTGCCCATGCATAATACTCAAAAATAAAATTTTATAATAAAAACCCTACTGGAAATCTAATTACTATTTTATCAATCCTTTAAAAAAAATTATAAACCTACTTGAATTCCATTTTAGAACTTTACCAATCCTTGAAAGTTATGTTGGTTGGGTTCGGTATTCCCATATATCAGCACCAGTATACATGTTGCGCCTTACTAGCAGGATATTCAATTTAAATTGACAATTGATGTTATGGGAATGGAAGCAGCAAGTTGTCCGGGCATGTTCAATATCTGAAAATTTATGCTTTATACTTTTAACAAAACGATTCTGAAAGACCGAGGAAAAAGTATTTGATATATAGTGATAAGTCCTTTATTAAATCTAAGGAGGACAAAGAAGGAAATAGATTTGGCTGCATTGAGCACTTCAATTTTTATAGCTTATATAATGTTTTTCTTCCATAAAGGTAGTAAATCAGAACTTTCTTAAACACTTTGAAAGATGGATCTTGTTTGGAAAGATTATGAATATCTGTGAGGATTGCCAAAGTGAAAAATTATTTATGTTTATTATTCTATCATTTGTTCATGGGTCTCTAAAATACGTAAGTTGGTAAAATTTATTTTATGATATTAATCAGAGGCTTAATAGTTTTATGCATACCGAGAGGTTTTATTGACGCATTTCANATATATATATATATTATGAATGTCTGTGAGGATTGCCAAAGTGAAAAATTATTTATGTTTATTATTGGCGTAGTACATACGGAGACACCTAAAGTTGACACGATCTTTCACTTAGACACTTAAACTAGACATCTTTCCCATTAGACACGTTTCTTAGGCAATTCTCAATACCAATTAGACACGTTTTTTGCTGGCTTATTGATTAACCAAGCGTGTGTTCTGCAATCTCCGTCTACGTGGCAAAAGTAACCATTATAAATCGTGCCACATCATTTTATTTGTCCACCTCACTGTCCACCTCAGCTATATAGTGTTATTTCCACTAAAATACAGATAACTAGCCCTAAACAAACATCTAAACATATTACCATTGTTCGTTTTACCTTCGATGAAAACGAAGAAAGGTCCTACCACTGTTAATCTTCTTCTTCTTTTGGTCAATAGTGTTGGAATCTAGTATTTTCACTGATTTCTCACCGTATTTACAACGCTTCAAGGTGCAATATCTCCTTATTTTCTATTGCTACAGCTAGGGCTAAGTAATTTTTAAGTTATTTCTCAAGCTAGGGTTTTTGGGGGGTTTTTCTTTGTGTTGGTCCCTTGTCGTCTTATGTAAGGGAATATTATGGAGGATGACTATATTTTAACTCGCTTTTACCATGGGGGTACATTTATCGAGCAACCTGTCCCAATATACAAAGGGGAATAAGATGTTTTTGCTGTTGCTATCGATAAAGACCATTTTAGTGTTGTCGAGTTGTCTGCTTATGCTAAAGACCTTGGGTATGCAGTTGTCGAAGGGTTTTATTGTCAAAAGGAAAAAGATGGTGATTTTATCAAAGTCTTTTCTGATTTTTAGTTATATGAATTTGTGAAAGATTTAAAACATAGTGATATTTTGGATGTTTATTTGCGCCATGGGGTGAGTCAGCCTGAAGTAGTCGAAGAAAATGTTGGTCTTTTATGTGGGGCAGAAGTAGGTGGGGGTGGTAATGACCAATTTAAAGCTAGGGCAACACCTGGGAGTAATACAAATACTGAAGAACCTATTGAGCCGCCTACTGAACCAACTCACAATGCTGTTGAACCACCTATTGAGCCTCCTATTGAACCAACTTTGAATGATGCTGGACCAACTCACAATTCTTCTGAACCAACTGTAAATGCTGCTGACGGAGATGAACCACCAGACCATTATGTTAATGAAGATGGAGTGCAATCAGATGTTGAGAGTAGTGAATCAGAAAAAGATGTTCTTCCTGAAGAAGATGATTCAGATGTTGATGATGAATTGAGATCTCTAAGGGCTGAAAGGAGGAGCAAGAGGCAGGGTAAACAGAGGAAAAAACCAATTGCAACAGATGAGATACCACTAGGAGAAGCAGGTATTGACAGGGGATTTGAGGATATTGGAAGAAACAAGACTTCAAGATATGTAGGTAAATTAGGTGGTGATGAGCAGTTTATTGATAGTTCAGAGGCTGATAGTGAAGATAGCATAGAAGAGTTAGATCCTGAAGCTATTCCTGGTGTTGATATACCAGCAAGAAAGAGGAGTACAAAAGTCAGGTATGATCCTGATTGTGAAGTTGTTATATTTGACGTTGGGATGATTTTTGAGAATGCTATAGAGTTTCGGAAAGCATTAGCAAATTATGCAATGGAGTACAAGGTGCAGATTAAATTGAGACCAAATGAACCACATAGGGTGAGGGCTAAGTGTAAATCAAAGAGATGCAAATGGGTGTGTTATGCTTGTATTGATAGAGATTCAGGTGATTTTAAAGTAAAGAACTACTACCCGGTACATAAATGTGATACTTCAAACAAGAATAAGTTGTGCACTTCAAAGTTTGTTGCAAAAAAATTCAAAGATGAAATAACTAAGCAGCCCCACATAAGGATATGGAAAATACAGGAGTTGTGTAGGGACAAGCTAGGATTGCATGTTGGCAAGACAATTTATTATAGGGCTAAACTGCGTGTTCTCAGAGAGTCCATGGGTGATTGGAATATGGAGTTTTCAAGGTTATGTGATTATGCTGATATGATAAAACAGACCAATCCTGGTAGCTCATGTTGGGTAAGGATGGACAGTGAAACTGAGCCAGGAAAAAATCTCTTTGTTTACTTTTATGTGTGCTTTGATGCATTGAAGAAAGGTTGGTTAGAAGGATATAGGAGAATCATAGGTTTTGATGGTTGTTTCTTAAAGGGTGCTTGTAAAGGTGAGCTTCTAGTTGTTGTTGGCAAGAATGAAAATTAGCAAATGTTTCCTATAGCATGGGCAGTTGCGGACCAGGAGACAAAACATAGCTGGAGTTTTTTCATCAACTACTTGAAAGATGATTTGCAATTGGGAACTGGAGAAGAATTGACTGTGATGGCAGATATGCAAAAGGTAAGTATTCTGTTCTGTTATCTCTTAAGTAGCCTATTAAGTAATTTTGGTATTTGATGTTCATTAATGTGATATGTTCAGTTGTTAAGTACTTAAGTATTCTGTTATTTTGTTAAGTAATTAGTATTCTATTTTGTGTAGTAATATGTTGTTGTAATTTGAATTAATTATTGTGTAGGGATTTTCTGCAGCTTTGAATGAAGTTTTACCTAATGCTGAATTTAGGATGTGTGCCAGGCATATATGGTCTAATTGGCATAAGAAATGGAAAGGAGAGGAAAGGAGAAAACAGTTTTGGAGGTGCTCTAAATCTAGTTATGAAGTTAAGTTTAAAGAGGAGCTTGAGAAAATGGACAAACTTGGTAAGGATATTTGTAGGGATTTGTTATATTATCCAAAAAAGTCATGGGTTAGAGCTTATTTTGAAGTGCATTCCAAGTGTGATGTTGTTGAAAAAAATATGTGCGAGATCTTTAATTCATGGATTTTAGCTTCTAGGCATAAATCAATTATAACTATGTTGGAGGAGATTAGAAGGAAAATAATGACTAGGAAAGTGGATATGTTGAAATTTGTTGATACTTGGATATCTGATATATCACCTATGGCAAGGCTATTGTTAGAGGATAGCAAAGAGCTTGTTAGAAAATGTATTATCCTTTGGAATGCTAATGTTGGATTTGAGATTGGAGAAGGGCTGCATAAGCATGTAGTTAATCTGACTGATAATGTTTGCACTTGTAGAGCTTGGCAGTTGAGGGGTATTCCATGTCAACATGTTGTTCTTGCATACTATCACATAAATGAAGAACCTGAACAGGCAGTGGAGCATTGGTATAAGAGGGATACCTTCTTAAAAGCATACAAGTATTTCATCCAGCCTATGACAAATATAAAGATGTGGCCTGAAACCAACAATCCTAAGATAGAGCCTCCCAAACCTAAACCCATGCCTGGTAGACCTCAGAGGAACAGGAAAAAGAAATATGGAAAGTTGTCCAAGTGAGGAGTGAAAATGACATGTTCCAAGTGCCATCAACAAGGACATAACAAAAGATATTGTAAGGTAAATGTTTCTTGTCAAATATTTTCTGTTGCCATCACATGTTTCCTGTTGTTCATATGAATGTAGTAATCTGTTTCCATCACTGTTATGTAATCTCTTGCTCAATGTTATGTAGGCTGAAAATTGGATGCCTTCACAAATATGACTTACAAATAACTTACTGATTGTGGTTCATTATTTGGCAAACTGCAGCCTAGAACATCAAGCCAACGAGTTATGGCAAGTGGTTCAACTTATAAGAGTGCATCTCCAACAAGAATTGACCTTGGTTTTAAGGCTAGAGGCTTGAGGTGGAAGGATCAAGATGTTGTCACAACTTCCCAGTTGCAGCAGATGAAGGCAAACTTCAGTAAGAAGTAGTATCTTAGGAACTTATTTTGTCTATATGTTATGTAGCAACAACCTATTATATTTTGGGATCTAGTTTTTGAAAGAACTAAACTTTAAGTTGTATTTAGTCGTGTAATCTTACTGTTCTGTTTTGGATATATGTTATGCAGCTGCAACTTCAACCTTATTTTGTTTGTTTTGGCAGAATATTTACTCTATGTTCTGAATAATTACTCTATAATGCAGCAACTTCAGTCTATATGTTCTGCATTTTGAAACTGCATCTTATGGTTCTATGCCTTGTACAGAAGTTGTATATTACAGCACTTTCAAAATTCAGCAACTGTAAATTAAAATAATAGTTTCAACATCTGAATATAAACAGAAGTTTATAACAAAATTCAGTTGTATTTATACAACATCTGAATATTACAACAACAGTTTCAAAACAGAAATTTAAAGCAACATCACCAATCAGTAAGTTATTTGTAAGTCATACAGTTTCCATAATAAACAAGGCAACAACAGAAATCCGTCTTCTTTTTGCTCATCAGTCAACCAAAATTCATTAGTCATACAGTTTCCATAAAACGACCAACAATACAACAACAATCGTCAAAAGGATCCGTCTTCTTTTTGCTCGAACTTTCTCCTCTTCAAAAGCTTTGACTCTCTTTAATAAACCCCAAATTATATTCTTCGCTTGAGTAGGCATCTCATCGTCATACCAACAGAAATAATCACATCCACCCTTTTTCTACAAATATCACAAAACACTTTTAATCAATTTTTATCAAAGAAAATAATTCATAAAACAGAATTTACAAATTATGAACAAACAATTTACCTTTCCGATTTTGCAAGCAAAAAACCTACGACCTGGGTTTAATTGGGTCCAAGAAGTATTCAACTTTGGAGAAACACCACACTTACAGATTCGAGCAGCAACGCAAGGTGACATTGACGAGTTCGTCGATTCCGAGAAGTTTGACATTAATGAACACGGCAACAACAGAAATGAGAGGAAGAAGAGAAGAGCAGAAATTAATTGATACCAAGAAGAGAACAGAAACGAGAGAAAGAAGAGAAGAGAAGAAAAGATTTGACAAGTATAGAAGGAGAATTGTTGGAGAAATCTGAGAAGATGAGAAGAGAACAAATAGGTTTTTTAAGAATTGGGAAAGAGATTAGAGTTTAAATAATAATTGACAATCCATGTTACCGTTATGTGTCTAATTGGGAAAGGAAGAGTCACTTTTTGGAATCCTTCACGCGCCTAAATAGGTTTGAAGTCACGCTATATGCCACTAGCAAAAAACGTGTCTAATTGGTATGAGAATTGCCTAAGAAACGTGTCTAATTGGAAAGAGGTCTAGTTTAAGTGTCTAAGTGAAAGATCGTGACAACTTTAGGTGTCTCTGTATGTATTACGCCTTTATTATTCTATCATCTGTTCATGGGTCTCAAAAATATGTAAGTTGGTAAAATTTATTTTGTGATATTAATCAGAGACTTAATAGTTTTATGACGTATCGAGAGATTTTATTAATTCATTTCATATGCATTTCATGCTTTTATACATGCACGCTGACCCATGACTAGATGGCGATATATATATGGGAAAGGTTATGGCATTATATACGTACCACCACCTAATCAGCTGGTATACGATGATGATGTTGCCGACAGTGGCTGAAATATGACTCATACGGCGTTATATACGCGTATATGTGTATATATATGTATATGGGAAAGTTTATGGTGTTATATATGCACCACCACCTAATCAGCTGGTATGCGATGATGATGTTGCCCACAATGGCTGAAATATAACTCAAACGGCATTATATACGCGTATATAGGTATATATATGTATATGGGATATGAGAAAAGGTTACGGCGGTATATACGCACCACCACTGATCAGCTAGTATACGTTGATGATTCTGCCCATAGTGGCTGAGATAATTTGATGGGATGCCCTCAGAGGCTTGATGATATTATGTACGTACACACATATGCATTACATGACATTTACATGCATATGCATAACATTATAAATATTTCACATTTACAGAGCTATCCAGACTTACAGGTTGAGTTATTTGTCCCATGTTTCTTCTCTATCTTATATTAATTCATATTCTCTATTGGTCTGAGTGGATTCTTTGTGCGATACGTATGTTAAAACTTTGGATCACTTTTGAAGATTCATACACCAAGCCCAAACATGCATGTGGTATGTAGAAGCAGTATATCCTACAAGTGTTTTCTAAAATTAAGCATAGGTTTCTTCGCTTCTACAAGTGTCTTCTTTTTTGGAACTTGATTAGGTATTAACTAACTTAAGTGGTCTACTTTCTAAATGCTTTTACCCCCTTAAGCGAGTAGTTCTGTGCATTCACAAATTTTTATCAAATTAAAATGCAAAAATCAGTAAAATAAATGATACAAGATTGAGAGAAAAGAATTGTTTTAACTAACTGTGAAGAAAACCATACCTTTTTGTAGGTCGTCTACCTTATGGTATACTTTTTGTACACTACATGCTATGTTGCCCAAACATTTATAAAAATTATTACTTTGTTAAAAAGATATATTAAATTGGAGGAAAAGTAAGTGGACATCCTAGTAATTTCTGCTTTCAGTTCCGCCTTACATACTCGGTACATTATTCGTACTGGTGTCCTTTTATTGGGGAAGCTGCATTCATGTCTGCAGGTATAGACAATCAGTTTGACGAACCCTCATAATAGATGAGATTGGTATTCAGCAAAGAATAGGTAAGACTCCACCTCATTCGAAGTGCATCCGAGTCTACGAGTCACCATGTCGAAGTTTTATTACATACTTATGGGTAGGCCGGTACCCTACCTAATTTGATGTCAAATAATCTTAGAGGCTTTGTAGATAGAGGTTTATTTTGTACAGTATTTTAGAGGCCTTGACGGCCCATATGTATCAATGTTTTATGATTGATGGTTCATTAATATAACAATTGCCCACTTAAAAATTGTACATTATGAGTTGTGGCCATGTTGGCCCATGATAGTTACAAAAGGAACGAATGAGTTACAGAGTGGTTCGCTCGGGCCACTACGGTATCGAGTGCCATCCACGCCTCCCCAGGTTTGGGTGTGCCAAAATGTATATTCTTGTGGGAGATTCTCTTGTTGTGGACCGTGTTTATCGGTCGTGTTTGATTACTCTTAGTGGCTTAGAGACCAGAGCCAATTTGTTATTACTCAGCATTGTAGAGTTTGATATTATCTGGGAATGGACTGATTATTGCCCTATTATGCTATTTTTTATTGTCACACCAACACCGTAACGTTGACTATGCCAGGTTTACCATATTTAGAATGGAGGGGTACCTTAGATTACACCCCCAATAGAGTTATTTCATTTATTAAAGCTTAACGAATGATTGAGAAGGGGTGTGATGCGTATCTAGCTTATGTGAGAGATGTCAGTATTGATACCTCTACAATTAATTTAGTCCGATAGTGAGGGATTATCTTGATGTGTTTCCAGCTGATCTTCTAGGCATGCCGCCCGATAGAGATATTGATTTTGGCATTGATTTGTTGCTGAGCACTCAGCCCATCTCTATTCTTCCTTATCGTATGGACCCTTCTAAGATTAAGGAGTTAAAGGAACAATTACAGGAATTGCTTGATAAGGGCTTCATTCGGCCCTGTATGTCACCTTCGGGTGCTCCTGTCTTGTTTGTGAACAAAAAGGATGGTTCTATGCATATGTGCATTGATTATCGCCAGTTGAACAAAGTTACACTGAAGAACCGATATCCTTTGCCCCGTATTGATGATCTATTTGATCTGTTACAGGGTGATCTAGTGTTTTCTAAGATTGATTTATGTTCAGGTTATCATCAGTTGAAGATTTGGGAGCCAGATATCCCAAAGACTACTTTCAGGACTTAGTATGGTCATTACGAGTTCCTTGTCATGTCATTTGGGTTGACCAATGCCCCCATCAATATTTATGCAATTGATGCACAATGTATTTCAGCCTTATCTTGATACAATCATCATTGCCTTTATTGACGACATTCTGGTATACTTCCGGAGTCGGGAAGATCATGAGCAGCATCTGAGGACTGTGCTTCAGACCTTGAGAGAGAAGAAGTTATATTCAAAGTTCTCAAAATGTGAGTTCTGGTTAGATTTTGTGGCATTTTTGGGTCACATAGTGTCAAGTGAAGGGATCAAAGTGGATCCGAAGAAGGTGGAAGCAGTGAAGAGTTGGCCCAGACCATCCTCAGTTATAGAGATCCGGAGTTTTCTTAGTTTGGCAGGCTATTACCATTGATTTGTGGATGACCAAGCTGACCAAAAAAGGTGCTCCGTTCAGGTGGACGGAAAAGTGTGAGGAGGGCTTTTAGAAGCTCAAGACAACTTTGACTACAGCCCCAGTATTGGTATTGCCGCCAGGTTCGGGGTCTTATACAGTTTATTGTGATGTGTTGCGAGTTGGGCCTCGGTGCAATGTTGATACAGGACCATAGGGTGATTACTTACGTGTCCAGACAACAGAAAGTGCATGAAAAGAACTATCTTGTCCACGACCTTAAGTTAGCTGCTATTGTTCATGCCTTGAAGATTTGAAGGCAATATTTGTATAGTATCCCTTGTGATATCTATACTGATCACCGGAGTTTGCAACATCTGCTCAAGAAGAAGGATCTTAATTTGCGTTAGAGGAGGTGGTTAGAGCTGCTTAAGGATTATGATATCACTATTCTGTACCACCTGGGGAAGGACAATGTGATGGCCGATGCTTTGAGTTGTCGGGTAGAGAGTTTGGGAAGTTAATTTTATCTACCAGTGGAAAAGATGCCCATGGCATTGGATGTTCAGGCCTTAGACAACCAGTTTGTGAGACTGGATATTTCTGAGCCTAGTCGAGTATTGGCTTGTGTGATCTCTCTGTCTTCTCTTTATGATCGTATCAAAGAGCCCCAGTAAAATGACCCTCATCTGCTTGTCCTTAGGGACACGCTCCAGTATGGCGATGCTAAGGAAGTCACTATTGAAGATGATGGTGCATTGAGGATTCAGGGTAGGTTATGTGTGCCTAATGTTGATGGTTTGCATGAGTTGATTCTTCATGAGACTCACAGCGTGCGGTACTCTATTCATCCGTGTGTCGGGAAGATGTATCAGGACTTGAGGCAACATTATTGGTGGCATTAGGATGAAGAAGGACATAGTGGAGTATGTTGTTCGGTGTCTAAATTGTTAGCAGGTGAATTATGAGCATCAGCAACCGGGTGGGTTGCTTCAGAAGTTAGAGATTTCGGAGTGGAAATGGGAGCACATCACTATGGATTTCGTTGTTGGACTCCCACGGACTCAGCGGAAGTTTGATGTTGTTTGGGTAATTATGGATAGACTGACCAAGTCAGCTCATTTCCTTCCTGTGATGGCTACCTATTCTTCCGAGCAGCTGTCTCGAGTTTATATCCGAGAGATTTTCAGACGTCATGGCATGCCGGTATCTATCATCTCTGACTGGAGCAAGCAGTTTACATCACGGTTCTAGAGAGTCGTACAACATGATTTAGGTACTCGGGTGGAGTTGAGCATAACATTTCATGCTCAGACGGACGCACAGTCCTAGAGCACTATTCAGATTCTTGAGGATATGCTTCGTGCATGTGTGATGGAGTTTGGATCAGTTCTTGCCACTTGCAGAGTTTTCCTACAACAATAGTTATCAGTCCAGCATTTAGATGAGGCTCTGTATAGTATGTAGTATCGGTCCCCAGTGGGTTGGTTCGAGCCGGGCGAGGCAAGATTATTGGGCACAGACTTGGTTCAAGATGCCTTGGATAAGGTTAATGTGATTCAAGATAGACTTCGTACAACCCTGTCCAGACGAAAGAGTTATGCGGATCGGAAGGTTCGCGATGTTTCATTTATGGTTGGAGAGTGGGTCTTGCTTCGGGTTTCACCTATGAAGGGCGTTATGAGATTCAAAAAGAGGGGCAAGCTGAGCCCAAGGTTTATTGGTCCCTTTGAGGTGTTGCAGCGTGTTGGGGAGGTTTCTTATGAGCTTGCCTTACCTCCCAGCCTAGCAGGAGTTCATCCGGTATTTCACG